CGTCGCAGCCGCGCCGGTCGCGAGGCGGGCCGGGAGGAGCTGGTCCGCGCCGCGGGCTAGGAGGAGGCAGAGGCAGAGCGAGCGCGGGAGGTCGCCGCAGCCGGGGACACCGCGCGCCGCTGCCCAACATGGTCGCTGCGCACGCTGCCCATTCTTCCTCTTCAGCCGAGTGGATCGCCTGCCTGGATAAAAGGTAGCTCGGGCAGGGCCCCCCGCCGGGCCGGGGCTCTGCGGCGCTGCCCCTGCCCGGAGACCGCCGCGGGGACTGCCGCCCCGGCCGCGGCCCCTCACCTGGGAGCAGACTGCCGGGCCCCGCGCGGGGGAGGGGGCCGAGGAGCGGCGTCCCGGCCAGGGGGGTACCCGGACCCCCGCCTCCCGTGGGCGCCACCCGCACGAGATTCTTCCACGTGGTGGAGAAAATGCAGCGCAGTGGGGTGTGGAGGCAGCGCCGGGCGCTCCAGTGCCCCCCCAGCCCTCCTTCACCTTCTTGCCCCCAGCGCGCGCCCGGCCGCCCGCCCGCCGCTCCAGGCTGCGCTCTTGGGTGGGGGATTATTTTCCCTCGGCATCACGGGACGGAATAGCTTCGTACCTTCTTCCGGCAGTTCAGGCCGTAGGGGTAAATGTAATTTAAGTTTTAAGGAGGGGTGAGGGGGAAAAGACAGGTGCGGAGTAACATTCCTTTTTTGTTCCTGGAAGCAAAGTGTGAGGGACCCAGCGGAGCTGTCAAGTGCCTCGCTGAAATTCTCAGCTCCTGCCCCCGCAGTCGCTTGCTCAAGGTCTGTGTTAGGAAGGTCACGCGGGAGACCGCCTTCGTCTGAATACCTGCTTCTCGGGAAAAGATCCTTACTCTAAAAAATTAAAACCATAAAGCAGTGTTACTCCCGACGACAGCTCTGTATAAGGAGGGTGCCCCCGTGTAACTGCGGACTGCAATTGTTTCCAGGCTCTGACAGCATAATTTTCTGTTTGTCCAGATTGTGGGTTTAACGGTAAACATCACACAGTATGTTAGCAATTATACTTTATTACCCTGATTATAAGGTGATGCATCTGAACTTTTAAGAACAGAGCGAGAGATCTTGCAGAGTGAACTGCCTCTGAATTTTTGAGTTTGATGCGGCAGGGCAATGATTCATGTCTTGCAGCTATCTGCATGACATCTCTATTTGCATTTGTGTGAAATATTTTGGGCTCTGCCATATTGAAATTTTTACAATTAGCAGATTCGTAACCAGATCAAACTTGAAAATCTTCAGTGTGACATGCTCTGAATATTTTACTATTATAGGTCTTTGTTGAAAAAAATTAGGTAATTTGAGAAAAGCTAAATGTGGCTCATTTGAAAAATTAATATATCTGTGAAATAATCTTTACTTTCAATTACCACACAGTAGCAAGATTTTTTGGCAGGCAGTGCCCTATTTACTCGAAAATGATATGTACTAATATTAGAAGAATTGCTTGCAATAAATAGTAAGAGAATTGAAGTGATGGTTAAATCATTCAGAATTATGTAGAGGAACTAAGAGTATATTTAAGTGAAGAGCCTGCTAATGTGATAAGTAATCTAAATTTAATAGTTTAGGAAAGATGAGTTATAAAAAAAGAAAATCAAGCTCTTGTGCTTGACCTATAAATAGTAGTCCTTCTTCATGAGTGAATTTTTTTATAATGGATTACATATTTCTATTTTCAGAAATGCATGGCATGCCATTTTTTGCACAGTCGGTGATTCACTGGAAATCCTTTAGTCAATAAGTACTTATGGCAAAATCATAGAGCAATACTAACACAAGTGGGTTATATTTGATTCTGTCTTTTCATAATGTGTATCTGCCCAAATGATTTTGTTTGATATGTGTTTTTAGAACATAGAGCCACAATCTAATGCCACCATTCATAATAGGGAAAAAGAATCTACCTGAGGTGGAAAAAAAAGCCTCCACAAATACTGAGCCTAGCATTCATGGAGTAGAGAAAGTGGATAGATCAGTAAGTTAAGGGTTTTAGGCCCAGAACTGACAGCTCTGATCTTGGAGATGTCACTTTTATTTCCTTGAGAGTCTGAAAAATGAGGATAGAACTATCTGTCTTACCAAGAATTAGTGGACCAAACAGCAACAGCAAATGGTGAAAGTACTTTGAAAACCTGAAGTGCCAGGTAAATATTTTATTTTGTGGTGTTGTGCATTTTCTGCAGTGTTGATGCTGGAATTCCTTTGAAGAACAGTTTAGGAGTGGCAATCTCATTTTAAAAGGTCCATGGGGTACTTGTTTTGAAGTTGCATTTTTACTTAAATTGTCTGTTAATTTTGTGGGGGAGGAGGAAGATTCAGGGTGCTGATGGAAGTTAGGACTACTCTCAGTATTTCTGAGAATTGCAATCTTGTTACCTTATTCCAGGTACTGTGTTGGGCATTGGGGATGCATGAGCAGTGAGGGGGGTAAAAAAAAAAGATGAGTTGCTCTTGACTTGGCGGATGGGTGGTGGGGCTGGGACAGCTGCATAATCAACTAACCACAATGCGATGACAAGTGCTTTCACGGAGATGTATGAAATGCTTTGGGAACGCAAAGGAGAGAGTCATCAGCTGTGCTTGGCAGGGATGCTTCCCACAGGTTCATGCCTAGACCTTGGAGGTTGAGGGAAATTTTATCAGAGAATTTGGAGAGGGCATGCCAAGCAGAGGGAGCAATGTGAACAAAGACACACAGGCGTGTCATATAAATATGCTAATTTCTTCCCAACTACAAATTCCTCTTGTGACCAAATCCAGAGCATAGGAATGTATGCTCCATTTTTCTAAAACTTTGGATTACAGACATTTCAAGCATAAAACACACAAAAAGAGGGAATGGCACAGTGTACCCCTATGTACTGTTTGGGGATATGATGCTGGGACCTTTTCCATAGCTGCAAAATGTAGTTTAGGTCTATGCATCAAGCAAGTGGCACCTGTTGTGGACAGCTAGAAAAAGAGGGACCCTGTTGAAAATAGTAAGAGGAGTTAAAGTAGAAAGTGCATGAGTAAAGAAGTACACAATACAAGATGAAACAAACAGAACAAGGAAAATAAAGCCTTAGAAATGTTCTGTAGTCATGCCTAGAAGGTTATCATAGACAGGCAATGCTATATAAACGTGCATGGGGGGAGGGGGCTGAAAAATATATAGATATGCAGATTAGGTTAAAGAAAGAAAACCCAACGTTTTTCATGTATCAGGCGTCCAAGTTCTTGGACTATGGTGGGACTGAGGAGATGAGATTGTATAAATACTGATCTTACAATTGGAAAGACATTGAACATTTGGATGGATAAAAAGACATTGAAAAAAGTCTCAGCAGACATATTGTTAAAGCACAACGAACTTACCTCTGTTTCATTGATCTTACAAATTTTTTCTAAGCAGGGGTGGTAATTAGAAATGTATTACATGGTACCCACTGTTTTGGGGTTTAGGATTTGTAAAATGTCTTTGTGTATGTGTGGGTGTGTCTTTGTGTGCTGATCATTGTTTAATTTTAGTGAAGATATTTTTCCCATAAGAATTTAAGTTTGCCACCTATGAATTTAAGACCCATTTATAGGTCATAATTCTCATGGTTGGTAAGGCAGTATTACGAAGATACCACACACATTCACATATGTATAGTGAATCACTGCCGGTATTCATCACTATGGAGCAGGGGCCAGATCCACCAGCTGCTAGCGTGTCTCCTGAGCTAAGAATGGTTTTTACATTTTTGAATGTTTGGAAATAAACCAAAAAGAGATCACTGTTTTGTGACCCATTAAATTTATATAAAATTCCAATTTCAGTGTCCATAAACACAGTTTTATTGGAACACAGCCACACTCATTTGGTTACGTGTTGTCCATGGCTGCTTTCACACTACACTGGCAAGAGTTGAGTAGCTGTAATGGAGATTGTGTGGCCCACAGAGTTTAAGGTATTTACTGGGGGGACGTCTGTGTGGCTCAGTCGGTTAAGCGTCTGTCTTTGGCTCAGGTCATGATCCCAGAGTCCTGGGATCTAGCCCCACTAAGGCTCCCTACTCATCGAGGAGTCTGCTTCTCCCTTTCCCTCTGCTCCTCCCCATCCCACCCCTGCTTGTGCTTTCTCTCTCTCTCAAATAAATAAATAAAATCTTTAAAAAAAATAAATGAAGTATTTACTCTGTAGATCTTTGAAGAAAAAGTTTGCCATGTCCCATTACAGATGAAAGAATTTGGCTGATTGACAGAGAAACCACTGGAAATGAGAGAAATTGTCTTCATCTGGGAAGGAGTTCACACTATTTGGTTTCTCGTTCTTCAGTTAGAAGTGTAGCTTGGGGGACATCCTCAGTTGATGGGCTTATTTGAGGATCACTGGTGATCACAGGCCAAGGCAGAAAATGAAGTTAACGTGGTATGGATGTATAAAAAAACAAAACAGTTGAGGAATTTTTTAAATTATTGATGTTTCATTTTTAAAACATGCTTCTTCTATAGTATCATTGCATCTGACAATCCCCAAATAGATGTGGACTTAACTATATTGATGTGATTGAATGCAAGTGAAAGAAATCAAGAAACAGATTTGTTAAAAACCAAAATGTTTTGAGGCAGACATGCTGAAGAGGATGACTCAGAATCAAAGAAGCCTCAGACACGGCCACACCCTTCAGGAAGGCTGAAGATCAAAGAAGCACGCAGAGCAGAAGGCTGTCACTGGGGAAGGCAGGTGTCCATCCAGACCCAGGCATGTCCCAAGGGGGATGATATTACCCTGGTGAATTCCCAACGTTCAGAGCTGGTCTTGCAATCTCAGATTCCTGATTTGTCAGCACATCAAGAATTAATACATTTTTTTCAGGGGCATATACAAAGGCACCAAACTCTCAAAGACGGTAAAACCAGAGAGACAGTTCATTAATTTGAAAATAAGATGAGAGGAGTGGACACTCACATCCTTTGGCTGATGTACTCCTTCTCTAGGCAAGCTGTGTGGGAGATCCACTTGTTACCAGAAGCCGGTGTTATACATTTACAGTGAGAAGCAAAGCTGCCAGGAGATCAGGACACTTACAACTTTTGGCCAGCTCACTCTCTTCTTAGAGCAACAGAGCCAGGGAATTAATTAGAATCAGAAGATAGTTCTGGGAATCCTTCAGGACAGCTTGGCTGTCATCTCTTCCTGTTAGATGAC